TGCTTGCCAGGCAGGCAATATGCTGCTAAGATATATCCCCAGCCCCAGAGAGGAGAGGTTTTCTTGTCTTTTTTTTTAATGGTTTTTTGCCGGTACCGGGAATCAAACTCATGATCTCGCACTTGCCAGGCAGGCGATGTGCTGCTGAGCTAAATTCCCAACCCCTTTTCTTGTCTTTTTGAGACAAGGTCTTGGTATGCAGTTCAGGCTGGCCTTGAGCTCACTTTGTTTTTTTTTGGTTTTGGTTTTTTTCTGGTACCAGGAATCGAATTCACGACCTTGTGCTTGCCAGGCAGGCACTGTGCCGCTGAGCTAAATCCCCAACCCCTTGAGCTCTCTTTGTAGCATTCGCTGGTCTTTTTTAAATTTTATTTTAAAGAGAATAGTAAATGAAAAAAAAAAAAGAACAATAGCAGCATATCAGCATCACAAACATAAACAAACCAAAACAAAAACATTTAAAGTGATACAGGGAGGGCCAGGGATATAGCTCAGTAGCATACGCTAAAAAGTCTAGAGTGGGGATGTAGCTCAGTGGCACGGTGCCTGCCTGGCAAGTGCAAGGTCCTGAGTTCGATTCCTGGTACCAAAAAAAAAACCCCAAAACAAAAAAATACAGTGATACAAGTTTCAAGACAAAATGATAAGAGCTGGGTGTGGTGGTGCACGCCGGCAATCCCAGCACTCGGGAGGCTGAAGCAAGAGAATCGTTGCGAGTTCAAGATCAACCTGGGCTACAAAGTGAGCTCAAGGTCAGCCTGAACTGCATAGCAAAACCCTGTCTCAAAAAGCCAAAAAACAAAAAAACAAAAAAAAAAAAAACAGTACATATTGGGCCGGGGATGTAGCTCAGCGGCATAAGTGCTTGCCTGGCAAGCGTGAGGTCATGAGTTCAATTCCCCGTACCAAAAAAAAAAAAAAAAAAAAGACAAACAAACAAACAAAAAACTATAATCCTGCAGGGTCAAACTCACTGGCAGCCCAGAGCAGGATGGAGCAACTGTGTGTCCCTTTTTGTTGGGGCAGTGCCTGCCAAGAGTGCAAAAAGACCTTCATTGACCTCAGGGTGGAATGTGGGGGGAGTTTGAGGTCTGGCAGATGGCAGAGGAGGTGGTAACATCCAAGGGGGGGGGTAAGAAGGTATTATAGACGGAGGGAACCACTGGACGTGGGCACAGGAGTGCTTGTGCTGCAGGACAGCAGTGAGCAGAGAGCCGAGGGGATTGTCAAGGTTGGCAGTTTAGAGGGCTGGGGATTTAGCTCAGTGGCACAGCGCCTGCCTGGCAAGCAGGAGGTTGTGAGTTCGATTCCCGATACTGGGAAAAAAAAAAAAAAGGTTGGCAGTGTAAGGAACAAGCCCCGTCTCCTTTAATCATGTACATGGACACATCAGACTGAGGACTGGGAGAGTGCAGCCCAGGTGAGCCTTTATTTTTTTCTTTTTGTACCAGAAATCAAATTCAGGGCTTTGCACTTGCCAGACAGGCACTGCGCCACTGAGCTACATCCCCACCCTAGACTTTATTTATTTATCTCTCAAAAGCAAGTACTCAATCTTGCAAAAGTGGGTACTAACAGGCAGACAGGCACACCCTGGGCAGTTACAGCAAGCAATTTAACCACTAGCATGCAGGCCCCTTCACCTTTTCCTCATTGGCTGAGTACTACATGGGGTACAATGTTCCTGGTCACTGCCTACACCCTTGGCTTACTCTCTCTACAAACATTTTGTGCGTTTAAAGGCAAATGATTATCTTTCCAGTCAAGAGTTAGCACAGTGAAGCTATAAGTTGCTGAACGTCTACCCCTTCCTCCTTTGTTTAGGAAGCCAGTCAGATGCACTCGCCAGTTGGAGTGGTGCACACTTGTGACCCTGGCATGCAGGAGTCTGAGGCAGGAGGATCGTTGCAAGTCTGAGGCTAGCCTGAGCCATGTAGTGAAACCGTCTCAAAAAGACAGATGCGGAGGCCAGGGATATAGCTCAGTGGTATAGTGCCTGCCTGGCTAGCACAGCGTCCTGTGGTACCAAAAACACCAAAACCAAAACCAAAAAAAACCCCACAAAAACAGATGCATGACCTCAGTCACAACTACAGGCAAGTAGGGAATTTTGTCTACTATTAGTTTTCTACTGAGAGTTGAAGACTTTACCTTGATTTTCTTTTTTTGGGGGGCGGGTTGGGATTTGAACTCATGACCTCAGGTTTGCCAGGCAAGCACTTAGCCCGCTGAGCTACATCCCTGGCCAGAAGAGTTATCTTGAAAGTGGACCACTTTAAGTTTCTATTTCTTATGGCAGGAGCAGAACCAGTGAGCAGGCAGGCAGGCTACAATGTGGGGAAACATGCTGGAAATGGAACCGGGCTTCATGCCTGCTAAAAAACAGCTCTACCACTGAGTTATAACCCAGTAAAACTCTAGACATTTTACTTTTTTTTTTTTTTTTTTGGATCTTTTTGAGATAGGTGTCACTATGCAGTTCAGGCTGGTTTTGAACTCTGTAGCCCAGGCTGGCCTCAAACTCAAAATGATCCTCCTGCCTCAGCCTCTGGAGTGCTGGGATTACAGGTGTGTGCCACCATGCCTGGCTTACTTACTTTTTTTGAGATGGCATCTCACTATGTTGCCCAGGCTGATCTCAAACTCTTAGGCACAAGAAAGGCTCCCACATCAGCCTCTCCGGTGCTGGGAATATAGACATGCACAACCACACTTGGCTGACACTTGATTTTTCCTTTTTTCTTTTTTGCAGTACTGGGGACTAAATCCAGTGTCTTTGCACTGAGCTACATTCCCACCTCTTTATTTACTTTGAGACAGTGTCTCATTACTTAGTTCAGGCTATCTTTGAACTTACTATGTGTGCCAGGCTGGCCTCAAACTCATAGCAATCCTCCTGCCTCAGCCTGTGGAGTGCTGGGATTACAGGCACACGCCACCATGCCCAGCTCCTTTTCTTCATTTCTTATTTTGAGACAAGGTCTCTGTAAATCACAGCATTCCCAGGCTTGGCTTGAACTTGGGATCTTTCTGCCTCAGCCTCACAGCGCTGGGATTATAGGTGTAGTCACTGTGCCCCATGCCCAGCTAGACTTGGGTTTTTTGTTTTGGTACTGGGGATCAAACTCCGGATCTTGTGCTTGGCAGGCAGGCGCTTGCGCCGCTGAGTTGTATCCCTGGCCCCTAGACTTGGGTTTTCATGAGGTTCCCACATGGCACTTCCTTCCCCTCCTCAACCCTGAAGTACCACATATACAACACAGCTATTCAGCAGCTGCCCAGTTTTGTCCTACTCCTGGAGGTGGAGGTGTCAGCCCCACACAGACTGCATTCCTAGACAGCGGTGTGAGGTGCACCAAGGCCCTGGCTCTTCTGATCTTGCAGTCCAGGCCCTCTGTCCAATTCCAGCTTTTTTTTTATGTTTTGTTTTGAGACTCTCACTGTGTCGTTCAGGCTTGCCTTGTACTCACTATGTAGTGCCCATTAGCCTGGAACTCTGTGGGTCCAGCCTCCTGAGTGCTGGAATTACAGGCATGTAGCACTAAATGCCCAACATAAGGTTTCTGTTTTTCTTATCTTGGTATGGAGATCCAACCCAGCGCTTCATGCTTGCTAGGCAGGCGCTGCATCACTGAGCTACACCCAAAGCCCCCCAGGCCACTGGTACCTATCCTCACCATGTGACCATGGGGTCACTCCAAAAAACAGATCGGTCAGCCCACCACTTAGTGGGTCTGGCTCATGGGGGCCCTTGCAGGCAGAAGCCCTTCTCTCCCCAGGGGGCTCCTCCCAGATTCCTTCTCATTCAGTAACTCTTTTTTTGGTACCAGGAATCGAACTCAGGACCTTGCACTTGCCCGGCCGGCGCTTGTGCCGCTGAGCTATATCCCCTGCACTCATTCGCTAACTTTTGATCTTCGGTTTCTGGCCGCTCACTTTCTGTAACAGGCAGGGCAACATGAAACTTTAAGTTAGAATTTCTTCTTTTAGAGACAAACAGATTCTCCAAGTCTCAGCTTAGAAGTGCAGAATACAGAGGCGCTGGCCGAGAAGCCGGGGCAGTTCCTGCTTACAGGAAGGGAGAGGAAAAGCTGGCCTGGAGGGTGCACTGCTCGGGGTCCCCTCCTTCTCCTTACTAGAGAAGCCCTGCACAGTGCAGCACGGGGCGATGTGCTGCAACGTGACCGGTCCATCGCCTCCTAGCTGTGTTTCCCTTCCGGCGGAGAAGAGCTTCTTTCTCGGTCGTCCCTCCGCCTGCGACCCTGGTTCCTGCTGCGTCTCGCGCCACGGCGGAGATACTCGCTTTCCCAGGCGGCACCGAGGTTCACACCGCGAGACAGATCGGAGGCCCGGGCCCCAACCCACCAAGTTAGGCGCAGTCTCTAGCCGACCCCGCCTTGGTCACTAGGGCGACCCCGGAAGCGTCTTCTGGCCGCGAGACTCCTCGCACCGCGGCCGCTCCAGGTTAGACAGTTCTGGTTCCGAGTCTAGGAGGAGCCGGAAATGCGCCCCGGCAGCGGCGCCAAAGCGCCAGGGAAACACCGGAAGTGTGCCGTGGAGCAGCGCTCCGCCAGCTTCGCGCGGCGTTGGCTTTGGGTTCCGGGGGAGTCGCGGCCCGGAAGCGCGGCCTTCGCGTGGAGAAGGCGCCGCTGCAGGCCCTGGTGCCCGAGGAGGAGTCGGAGGTGGGGTCGCACGGGCGGTGCCCTGCCGCAGGGCCCGCGGGGAGGCCGAGGCTGCCGGGGGAGGGG